GACGCAATTCCACAGCCTAACCACACACACACACACATATGTGGAAAGTACGTCGTGCACGATACACTAACGCATCGTCAGTCGCTGAAAAATTTGTATAATCTTATCAACTATGATCATCATGCTCATCGCCTCTCTCTCACCCAAGTAGCACCTGGGCACGTGAGTGAGATCCTGACAACGAACATGGAAAGGATTAAATCTGAAAATCCTGAGCTAAAAAAATTATTAATATGTTTTCTTTCTAACGGGCTAACACTTATTGAAATATTTGAAATATTGATTTGAAATATTTTTGTTATTTTAAATTTGAATAACAATACTTAATCAGTTGAATAAAATAGTGAAACTTTAATATCAAGAAAAAATATTAGCAAAGAATTTATTTATGATTAATATTAATAATAAAAAAATATAATAACTGATTCTAAATGGAATATTAATAGAAATAATCCTCAGGCGATTCCGTCATCAAAGCATTTTTTGAGAAAATTAAAAAATCATGTTTAAAATTTGCTTTAATTTCGAAGTCTACCTGTCGCGAAATATCTTTTTGCACATAAAATTTGATATATTTTTATACGAAAGAAATAAAATATCATTTTTATATTGCAAATACTGAGTAATATGAAAATTATTATGTATAAAATAACGAAAATGAAATTAAAAATGATTGATTGACAATAATATGCATTCTCATAATTATTATTATATAATAATTGCAACAAAGTCAGAGGATATCCGACTTTTTTCCATGTTTTTCAATTATGGTAATATATCATTACTAGAAAATCACTAATATTACTATTCAAAAACGATGTGCAAGAAGACTCTATCCTGAATTAATAAATAATATAAAATAAATGTTACTACTCACGGATATAATAAATATCCGTGATCATTGTGCTCGTGCAAAATTCTACGTATACAACCAGTCACTCGTGTCGATTCGGATCTTTCATCCTTCGACATGATTGAGTGATCGGAGGAACAAAAATGCATGCGACTCACCATTCGATGCGAAAAATCTACGATGCCATCGATGTTGCTTTGGCTTATGTGTTGTCATCAAACAAGAGATCGTATAAGCTGAGCAGTATCTGTAATATAAAAACGTAAAATGTTATAAATTAAAAACATAGTAGACTTAAAAAAATTGAAATAATATAATGAAATTAAATTTAAAAAGATAATTACCTCTTCGCGTGATGGATGATCGCCTTATTCTCTTGATACACTGATTTTAACCCGTATCGAAAACAAATATATTCAAAAAAAAGAAATAAATAAATAAAAGGCTATTAACGCGTTTATATTATAATCGGCGAACAAGCACTGATTCTGTTTTCGCGAATATATAATTATTAAATTTAAATAATATTATCATGATCTAAAAAAATTAAATAAAAAACTACTTTTTCGTAATAAACACTGACTCTATTACGATCGCATTGCACGCGATCACAAATATTTTTTGAAACTAAAATAGAAGCAATCACAAACTTATCAGTATCTGTAACAAAAATTTTGAAATAATGAAAAATATAACAATATTAAACCTTTAATTTTAACAAAATCTATTAATAATAAAAACGAATAATTGTTGAAACATATAAAAAATATATATACCTCTTCATATGATAGATGATTATCTTATTTTCTTGAAAGAAACACTGACTATCTTGTACCGAAAACGAATATATTTGAAAAAAAAAATAAAAAAATAAAAACGTATTCATTTATGTTATCGATAAACAAACACTGACTCTATATAATTTCGCGATTTATTATTACAATTAAATTTATTATTACAATTAAATTAGAACTATTGTGTTCTAAGTAAAAAAGACTTTTACGAAGCAAACACTGACTCTATCAATCGCATTGCACGCGATCACAAATATTTTCTGAAAATAAAGTTATGTTAGTACTTAGGGAAAGGTAAAAAAAAAAGAAGCAATATTTTTACGATATTTTTCTTCTTTTTCTATTGAACATTTGTTAAGAAAATATTTTTCTAAAGCTACAAATTAAAAGTAAGATGGCGAAAGAATGAAATAAAATAATATAATATATCGAAACAAAAATACGATTTACTTTTTCTAATTATTTTCATCTAAATATTCTCAATGATTAATGTATCGATATATTATAAATTACTTAACAAATATACATATTATTGATAATTAAAAAAAAAAATTACAAATATATTTCTAATATAAGAAATCAAACCGTTACCAGTTCTTTATAACAAGTCGCCATTTTATCATGATGAATGCATCAAATGTTCGTTATGGCGTCCATATTGGAAGCTTTTCCCGCCTTGTAGATTATATCAGAAATCTGTACAATAGATAATCAAAGAATAATATAAATATATAAAATATATGAAACTAGAATCTATTGTATTAAAATATGATAATAAAAAATCTTAAATTATCTTATTTTAAAAACCGATATCTATTTCGCTAATAACACTAATGGTGAAATGGATTCATAAAGAAAATTGAATAAATTATTCCTCAAAATATTATCAATTATAATAATATTTAATAAATTGTTAAATTAACGTACTAATTAAATAATAATATAGGAAAAATAAAAGAATAATTAAAAGAATAATATATATAATATAATATACGCAATAAATTAAACACATACCTGAAACGTCTGAACGCCACGATTGATCACAGAAGAATGACGCCTTACACCGCGATTTCGATTATCGAATTGGATTAGAGAGAGAAAGATATACTCGAAGTTTGGCAACAATCGAAACATGTCGACATAGCACGACGCGGAAAGACATTATAAGAAATATTTTCCTCGAGTGTAAAATCAAAACAAAACTAAGCTATTATAAGAAATATTTCGACTCAAGCGTAAAACCAAAACAAAAACAATACGAATTGAACGTACGGATATACGCATTTAAGAAGGAAATATATGAGAATATATATCAAATAAAATCGATTTAAATCGATTAAAATTTAATATAGTTATTTTATTTCTATATGAATAAAAAATGAAAGAAATCTATAATAAATATTTTACATTTTTCGTGAAAATAATTTAAATCTTACCATATTTATACAAAAGTCATTACATATGGATAACCTATTGTATTTTTGAAGCGATTCCAATAATTAATAATTTGCACAAATAACAATTAGGATCATTTTTTAAAAACAAATTTATAAAATTAAAATAATATTAAAATAAAGCAATAACTAAATATAAATTCGATTTACAAAGTACATTAATACGATAACTATAACCGTTAAATACGCGACAATGAAAAACAAGAAGACAAAAAAAATGAAACAAAATTCAATTTTGATATAACAATACTTCATGATTAAACACACATATTAATTAAACAAGACAAATAATATAATACAATATTAAATTTTATATCACAATATAAATTTTATTTATATCGATATGACACGTATTCTTCTCACGATTCTTGATGCAAGACTGACACCATACATTCTGATTCGTCTAACCATTGGGCCTCAGAAGCATTCTGATTGGTTGAAGCAGTTATTATTCATTTCAATTGCGCGAAAATTGAAATATAATACAATATATTTTAACTGTTAATTTGTATATCGAAATTTTACAAAAAAATACTAATTAAAAAACAAAAAAAATAAATTTTTATAGTTAATATATAATAATATAAAAAATATAAAAATTATTCAAATTAAAAAGATCAAAACATAAAATTTAATTAATATTTAAAATAAATATTAAATCAAATCTAAAGAGTATAATGTAAAAAAAGAGTCAACATAAAATGTACTTAAATTAAAAAATATTGAAACATAATAAAAGAATTTAAGATAAATATTAAATTAAATAAAAAATAGATTTTTATATAAATCTGTTATATTGGCTCGAATTTATTATTCTTATATAATATACATAAATCATTTCAATATAATACATCATTTATAATATAAAATTAAAAACTATGTAAATATAATAGAAATAAATTTATATCTAAATGAAATATCGAAATGTTGCAAAATTTAAATTAAATTAAGTATATGTAGTTTCTATAATTAGTTTGACATTGCTTTCTAATATTATCGAAAATGAAAATTTTTTCTAATATAATGTTTCTATTATAAATTTTTCAATAAAATTTTATTCGATATTGAAAATCGATTCTAATTATGAAAAAATATTATCACATCTATTTTATAGCTCGTCTGTATTGATTATTAATTTTTGCTCTATCTTATCCTACTATCAAAGAAGATAACTTTGACATTCAAGAGATAGCGCTAATGGTCAATTTTTATTCTACTTTATCCTATCTTGAAGAAATATTTTTTTATATCCGAGAGATGGCGTTCAATGACAATTCTTCTTATCTCTGTCCTTTTCTAACTACTTGCTCTCCTTGAATATTAAGTTTCTTTTGTAGCACTCTGGAGATGGCGCTGATTTCAAATTTTTTACGCTATTTCTATCCTTCTTTTATTAATTTGTTTTCCTTGTTTAGACTGTAAAACGCGCTAAAAGATAATTCCTACATCTAATTTATTGTCTTTTTTGTCTAATATATTATATTAAAAATCTTAACAAAGTCTCATTAAATAATAATGAGAAAGAAGAATGAAAATAAATATCATTGACATTACATAATATCTAAAAAGAAAAATTTAAATTGTTTAATTCTCGTCAAATAAATGCTTAGTTAACAAATAATATTTCTTGAGAATTCATTTAAAGATAGAAGTTAAAAAATTCAAATATATGTAATTATAAATATAATAATCATATTAAATTGATTGATTTAAAATTTTATAAAGTTCTCTTTTAAATTCTCTTTATACTATTGGAAGTTAATTGATTCAATACATAAAAAAAATTAACTCTCTCGACTTTTAGCACCGCAACGTTCCGATATGTTATCAGGGAATATATAAACGAGCCCCTGGTCGGGAGAATTCGGCTATTCCCGCGAGTGGTTCATCGGACACAGACACAGCGTTTCCTCACATCCATTCACTCACACTCGATCGCTCGTACAGCTAACATCTGACACAGTGCAGGAACAAACACAAGGTTGGCAAGGAAGAGAAGTACGCGATCGACGTAATACAACTTTAATGTATGAATCGCGCGCGTGTGCAATACGGTGTATTGTGTAAAGGAATTAGTTGTGCGTATGCGTAACTGGCTATATGGACGAACTTGAAGTCGAAAGAGAAAAAGGTGTGCGAGAGTAGACAGAGCGGCGGCGGCGAGCGCGGGTAAACGGGTCAGCATTGGTAAGCACGATTAGCCAAAAACGCGCAGTCGCGCGTTGATCCTGTTGGGTGGGAGGCGATCAGCTGTAAGCACGCGAGGAGCGAGATGTTCGTCCTGCAGAGGTCTATATTGTGAGTACTAGAAAATTTTTATACAAACCACATATACAAAGCAACGATTTGTGATTAAAGACATACTGGCTTTTACTGCACGAGCAGAGCACGCACGTGTGCCGGTTCATTGTCGAGAGAGGCGGACAGAGCCAGCGAAATACGCGAGAAGGGCCGTTGTAACCTAGCTTCTGCCGCAATGCAGTGCTGAAAATAGGAACGCGCTTGAGAATCCGTCGATCGATACGAGGCCACGTTACCGTGTTCTGTGAGCCAGTGCCAAACGAAATCATATCGTGTTCACATTTACATAAACTTTAAAATTTTTCTATTTCGTGTTGCTCTTTCTATCTATCTTTTCATTTTTTCCGCATATTCTTCATTCGATAGTATTCAATTTCCACTACAGTTCTTACAGGTATCATGCGATGTCTGTAAGGACTAGTATGTTTTATCCCCTCTACTTTATCCTTCTTCCTTTCTTTTCGTCCTTTCTTTTTCTCAGAGCGTCGACCCGTAGACATGCTGACTCACAAACAGTTATTCAGAAAAAAATTCGGAGAAAAAAAAAAGTCGTTTTCAATGAAAATTATTATTTATATTTTTAAATATAATATTTATACTTATTTCATATATTTTAAACACTATCTGTAAATGAATTACATACTTTTTACCATGAAATATATTTCGTCCATTTGATTCCCTTTGGCGCACCTGTCGTTTTAACGAAGTTTTCGATCGATCGTAGCACGTGTGTAGATATATGTTCTGAAATTGATTATATTATTAGTTATATTTATTTTTCCTCAAATAAAATATACGATTTCCAGTGATTTATTTTTATATCTCATAAATATCTGGTATTTTTCAAGAATTGTTGGAATATTTTGATTTCGTGAAAATGCAGTGACAAATGTTGAGTTGAACGCCCTCATATTTCGCTTTTGTATCTCGATCAATCTTCCGTCGGTATTTATTGATTTTTATTATATCTAAATAAAAATATTCAAAAAATAAAAACAAATATATATTATTATTTGTTTACAAAATATATACAAAAAAATAATCAATATTTGGTAATTCGGTATTTTTTCTTCTATATATATATATATATAAAATATATATAAAATTATTTTACTTCACATATTTTATTATGAATGAAGGAAAAAAAAATACTAGAATTATTGTTATCATTCGAATGTAATAGAATTTATTTTATTTTTTCGAAATTATTTTGAGTCTGTTATTTTGCTTCGTTGCTTAATATATTATTTTTCCACTAAAAAAAAGACTTCATATATGTGAATTACCTTTAAGTAATTCAAGGTTAAAACAGATCAGGAGGAGTTTAAATAGACGTGAAGAGTAAACTTCGAAGGTGATCTATAAATACAAAATAATAATTTTTGTTTTTGTTTTTTATATGTATGTTAAATATTTTATTTTTGAATACTAATTTAAATACTATGATTTCTAAATAACTATAAATGTCTACAAAATAAAATAATAAAATTTAAACATTTAATTTATAAGTTTCAAAAATGAAAAATTATAAAAATTATAAAATTTATATACAAGTTTTCTCATCAAGAAGTTATTCATTTTTGTTATTATTAAAGAAGAATATATCTGTAATTTCAAAACATCTAATAAATAATCCATATTTTTTCCTATTATATACTTTGATTCTTATTATTAAATTTTTAAATATTTTGTTGTACATTTATAAATAATATTTTATATACAAAATCATATAGAAAAATTTTTTTATTATGAATACTACAGTCTACGTTATTATAGTATTATCTAAAATCTATAAAAGTTGCGACAGTTATCATATTTAGATTATGTCATTCCATACCGACAAAGCTATATTGGTACTTTACGTAATACATTAAATCGACTATCTTATATAAGATATCTATACAATAGTTTTGAGAGAATGCAATTTATTTTTAAATATTTTTATAAAAATTTATTTAAATAAGTTTATTTCACATTGATAAAAATTTATAGAATAAAAATACATATAAAAACATTTACATATAAATAATTTACTATCTGTCATAGTTATTTTTCAAGAAAACAAAAGTAAATTTTCGATAACTCGGTATTTTAAATTATGAAATTTATCTCTTAATGCAGAATATTAACATTAGTTTGATAATTTTTATTCGTTTATTTATTTTTTAAAAATAACATTTTTACCAGTCAATATTGATATATTCATAAAGGAAATTTGTACAATTATCATCTCTTTGTTAAATTTAACAAATGTGAAATGTTTGATTTTAATTTGTACAAAATTTATAGAAATAATTTACTTCATATCCGTAAATTGCATTATATATATACGTTCAATTATTTATACAAAGCCTGCAAAACAATTATGATGTTTTATAATTTATGCCGATTTTAAAACGAAGTCTTTAGAAACACTTGTACTTCCGGAAAGTGACGTCATTACTGTCACGTAGTACTGCACCCAGTTGATGACAAGGAAACCATAATGATCAAGGCCATCAGTGACTGCGAATAGAATTGAATAAAGAAAAAAATTTTCGATTCGAAGAGAACAACAATTGATACGTTACGTTTCTTGTGAAAAATTATTTTACAATATTATCGTATTAATATTTAGAACGAATTTTATAAATTATTAGAAAGATTCTCTTTAAAAAAAATCGATAATGTTTATTTAATATCAAAAAATATAACGATAATTTCTTCATTAACACTACTATTAGAAATAATAATAGATTTTCTCTCAGGCCATCGTCGTCTGTACCAAAATATTTTCCATAATTATTTCTTTAAATTTGGCCAAACGCCATTCAAATAATAATAGATTAACCTGTTCCCTTTACAGACATGCAATAACTTTGCTACGCCTACAAATATTTGAATATATCCATTAGATTGATATGCACATATTTTATATGTATCGACGTGAAATGTTATTGGATATTAAGATTGCTCAAGACGCTCAATCATTTTTTGATTTTATCTCTATCTACGTACGTAACGTGTAATCGATAAGATTTTATTGCAAAGCAGACTTATTATCTCATGACTCATAGTTAAATGACAAATTGAAGTATCACAATTAAATGGACTCGATTGTCTCTTTTTGAAATACTATTCGTTTCAACTACACACGAGTTTAAATTATTTATACTCATTAATCAGAAAATCATTTTCAATTTTTAACGATATAAATTTTATTTTCAAAGCATAATTTATACTTAAATATTACTACAGTTATTATTAACTTATCGAGAAAGAAACTTGTCGAGTATTATACAATCTTTACTTTTTCACGTAAAGATTATAATATTTTCTTCATATTATAAATTATAAATTATCCATTTTTTTTTTTTTTGCAACAATTTTTACAATATTACAGAATATTTGTTCTTGGATCACCGGAAGCACGAACGAAAAGATTATTGCGGTCACTACGAAGAATTGTTATGAACACCTTGAATATACTTCATATATTCTAATGAATATATCATCAAATGTCAGGGTATCACGTTATCGACATTCTATTCGATTTCTCTAGTTGCAATGCTTTCAACGCGTCCTTAATCGATAAAAAACACTTCACTTTGACATTCTCAAGTTCTTCATATCTATTTTGATTTGCGAGAAGTGAACGTGTCCGTGCTCGTGTTCGTGTTCGCGTATATAAGTGTGTATGCTCCATAAAAAGAAAATGCCAGGTAATTTCAATATCGATTATCAAATCTATATATTTTTTAGAGAGAAGAAGGCTTGAGTTCCGTTACTTGTTGATTTATTTACCACTTTGTTTGGCATATCTAAAATATTTTGGCAACCTAATTCGTCCTCACTCTTCTTCGTTTCTCATATCAATTTCTTTAGGAACAACCAATTGCGACAAGTGTTTTACGTATGAGAAACACGATGTCGATAAAGTTTAACAGGATAAATTAGAACAATGCTAATCGGGAATTTCCTGAATGACGTTAATCTTTAATTGTATAAAACAAACAGTTTTAACTTGTTTTCTCACACGCATCGTTAAACTTCCCTCTTAAATCATTCATTTAATGTTAATTGATGCACATTTCTGTTAAAAGTTCATAATTGAATGTTAGTAGTCGCTTATTTTTATAGAAAGAGCACAAAACTTGATCATATTTTGATAATAATTTGATATTTTTCTAATTCCAATTACTTCATTCATAGAGAGATAAAAATTTGTTCAAAGATACAAAGAATAGCCGATCGTTCCTCGAGTATTATCGGAGGATTAGCTTGTAGCTTAGATAGCTGGTTATCGTTTTATTTTTTTTTTTTTTTTTTTTTTTTTTTTTNNNTTTTTTTTTTTTTTTTTTTTTTTTTTTTTTTTACGTTTGAGAAATAATTCTGAACGACAAAGTTTTTTGTTTGTTCCATTTTATCGCTTGTCTGCTAGAAAATTTATATTCTGATAATGAAAGCAAGAATGGGATAATGATTTAATTTTCTCACGGTGTGTAATAGATCGCCCACCAGCAGAAATTGTACGGGATCATGGGCACGTATGCTTCCTCCTACGCATCCTGCTATAAAGGATATTCAACAGAAAGAGATTCACGAAGTATCTGGCGATGTCATACCTATCAATATGGTGAAAGGTATCGGTCATTTAAGGGATCCACGACTCAATAAGGTATTTTAATCTTTATTAGCCCGTATCGTGATTCAAATAAAAATATCTTTACGAATAAGAATGAAGAAGAAATTCTGTTTATTTTATGATAGATGTATTCAATGTTATCGTAAAAAATTATGTTAAAATATAATTTTATTCTTGAATTCTTATCTCCTGACTTTTTATTTACCTTGTACTTGTTTTCTCTAGTGATTAATTTTTGTGAATTCAAGCGATTAATTGTAACTCTCTTTTAACTCTCGTTTTTTCTAAAAATTAAATCGTTCGTTTTATTATCGTATTATTATCTTTTTTTTTTTTTT